AAAAAAAAAAAAAAAAAAAAAACTGCACTGAAATTAAACTGAGAGGGGTATATAGTATATATACCCCTCTCAGTATATATATGAGTATATATAGTATATACTACTATATACTAATTTGATTAATTTGTGTAAAATTGGTTATTATTTTGCCTTGTATTATATATGGATTATATGTAAACATTTTCATAAATCATATCATACACTAAACAATGCTGGGTTGTTTGAACCCAAATTTGGGTTAAAAATGTAATTTCAAATTTTAACCAAACTTCAACTTTCACTTTCAACTGTGATTTTTTAATCGCATTTTTAACCCAACATTTGGGTTTGTCCATATTTGAGGCAAATTTGTGTTGAAACAACCCAGCATTTTTTTGAGTGTGTATATATTTTCAAACAGCCTTTTCATATATTAGCATATTGCATTTTCTGTGTAAATTAATGAGCAGAACTGTATTTTCCAATGCTGTTTGTACATACTGTATCTGTTAATTGTGTCTGCAGAGAGTTATTGACCTGTGCAGATGATTGATGACACTCCTGCAGCCTGGGACTCATTTGACAGGGGTCAATGAGGTCAGAGTTAGTATTGGCAATCAGTTAACTCAATCTGACCGGGGCGGGTGGTAGTCAACATTCATGCACAAACGCGTGTCACTCAGGAATAAACTGATTCAAAAGACCACCCTGAATAAAAATGAAACACTGAAAATGATACTGATGAGGTGTGGCGCAATGGTTGAAAATAAACAGTAAGTTTGTAACTTAACAGAGAGTTCAATGCCATGAGCTATCGCCTTTGCGCTGTTAAATCCCACTGCAAAAGTTCTGTTGCTTAAGTCTGTTAAATGACTAATCATTCACTTACTATGGCTATACTGTATATACTTGGCTTTCTCAAACTCTCCCACCACTTTTTTTCTTTCTCCTTTCTCTTAGACTAAAAAGCATGACTATGTCTTTAAAAAAAAGCTAACTACATTTCCACACCTCTCTCCGGGATATTGAGCATGACGTGACCCATGGTTCTCAGCCCACAGTGGGAAAGACTTCATCTGAAAACGTCTTTGTTACAAAGCTGGTCTCAGATACTGCGAGAAAACCGCCCAGAACGTCACTGAGCGCGCGAGCCTGGGAATGCACACGAATGCTATGGTCACATACCATAGCTGATCTTTGACTTCAACCAAAGTTCCCCATTAATGACGACCTCAAGACTGTGTCCTTCATTCATTACAGGGAATTATCGGGACGCTGTTCTTGAGACTGGCTTTGAAGAATAGCTGGAGAAGGCAATGTTTATTGTTGTAGGCGTGTAACATGTGCTTCCCCTTTCTTAAAGCTACACTGTGTAACTCTTTTAGTTCATTCTTAGCTAAAAACACTTAGTTCTTTCAAAAATATGTGCTCATTAATATATATTTACTTCATTCAAGTAATAAAGTATTCTCGTGTGTGTATAATATGCCATTGAAAATACATACGGGTAAGGGGTTCGCCATGTTGCCCCTCCATCTTGAAAGTACATTAGCCAAAGAGGCATACCCGTTAATTCAAGCTTCGCCTTTCGCGTTTACATTTGAGTAAACACTCATGGACGAGGTCGAACTGGAAGCCATGTTAATCTTGGACTACATTGGCCACCATAGGAGTTAAAACGAAATCGGAATTGAGAGGAACAGGAACTAATTTTCACTGGATGGTCATATACCTTTTCACAGCTAGATGGGGGTAAAAATCACACAGTGTAGCTTTAAAGGTTTGAACCCAGGAAATTGGGTGATGATTTCATGCTTTTTACTTTAAAAAAGAGATCATGTTTATTCATTTAAATCACTAATAAATTAGCCCCTCTACGCTTAAAAATAAAAGGTTTTGTCTTCTATAGTTCAGTGAAGAACCTTTAACATTCAAGGAAATTTTCCACCGTACAAAAGGTTCTTTATAGCGGAAACTTGTTCTTTAGATTATTATGTTCTTCACACTAAGGGTGTATTCACACCAGGAAAGTCCGATAGTTCACTTGCTTTGGTCCGGACCAAATAAATTATTATTATTATTTTTTTTTTTTGGTACGGTTCGCTTTCACACTGCTCTTTTTGCAAGTGAACCAAAATTTGTAAAGCAAACCACACGTGTGCTAAGGTCGTCCATTCATTGGACAAGGATTCTCAAGGGAAATCAGGAAGTGCAAAAAAGGCTTAGCATGGAGATATTTTCATATATTTCATACTGCAATATTTGTTATTTTACTAATTTTGTGTTAATTCTGTACAAACGCAATATGAAGGAACTAATGAGTATCATATGATACAATCTCATCTATACGAAGTTGTAATTCGGATTTTGAGAAGACGACGAGTGTAACGTTTGAGTGGCTCTGTAAACGCGGGGAAATACGACAACTCTCGTCTCTCGTGCATCTTTTCATTCGACCACCTTCTGTTTTTTTTTTTTTATCTCTGGGCAACATCTCAACTTTGCGTTACAAGTGGCACTGCACAGAAGACGGAGAAGGTATAAAGTTTTCATTCATAGAGAGGGGCTATCTTCACTCATTCAAATAATTAGCTTCTTATTGTGTACTAACAAGTGCTGTCAATGTTAACGCTTGCGATTAAGTTTGTCCAGTTTAACGTAAATTAACGCATCATCATCCTTGTATTGTAACTATCCTTACATTAATAATAATAATAATTCATTACATTTATAGAATTTTTCTAGGCACTCGCTTTAAGGGGGAAACTCATCAACCACCACCAAAAGGTGGTGAACTGCAAATGCTTTATGAACTGCAAATGATATTTTTTTTGCATCTTTGCGCGATTAGACATTCACACACGACACGCAGAAAGACGCGCAATATTCTCTTTCGACGCAGTGCTTTCTTGCAATTGGGTCGTTCATGTTCACACCGTAAACGAACCGTACCAGAGTTCGTTTGGAACCGTACCGAGACCACCTCTTCAGCTGGGTCTCGGTTCGGTTGTTTGGTCCGCACCAGAGTTCGATTGCTGTATTCACACCTGCCCAAAAGGTCCGCACCAAGGGGGCAAACGAACTAGAGTTCGATTCAATCGAACCAAACAAGGCAGGTGTGAATAGACCCTAAGAAACTTTCGGACTGTGGCTGCATTCGAAATCGAATAATCTCTTGAGTAGGTACTTATTTTGAATAAATATTTACTTCACAACCACTAAAAAAGTACATTATAGTATGAGTGTGTGTGGTATGAATGCAATCTGGACGTACTACATTCGCCATGTTGCCATCATGTGAGCTACACTGTAAAAAAAAATATTTTCATGATTTGTAATCACAACATTATTTCTTTTGTCAAATCAACTTAAATAATTTATGTAGTTCAGATAACATAATATTTTAAGTTTCGGACGATTAAATCAATCACCTTCATTGTACTAACTCAATTTTTCCATTTCAATGAACTTACATTTTTAAGGCAGCCAGGTTACTTTTTTAAGTTAAACCAACAATATTTTTTCTACAGTGTACTTCGCTTCACTGCAATAGACAAATCCACTCCCGTGGAATATTTCCGAAAGAAGTTGATCATGGTCATTTTTGCTTACTCTTTTATGAATACTGTAATTTCATACATACTAATTTTTGTATGTACGTGAATTCCAGCCCGTTCTCATCCTTTAACGTCATATAGAACGCTATATGCAAAAACGGCGCTATACTACGCACATGGCTCCCTTTATCGTTAATATAACACGCGAACCCAAGACGTTATAAATCCTTTAGCGTGAATATGACACGTACACCCTACCCCACACCTAAACTTAGCCCTCACAGCACGTGTTATATTAACGATAACGGGTGCCATGTGCGTAGTATAGCGCCGTTTTGTCACTAGCGTTCTATATGACGTTAAAGGATGAGAATGCGTTGGTGAATTCGGATGCAGCCTTGGATGTTCTCGAAGCCTAAATCCGAATTCGAAGATGCATGGTAAATCATTCTACGGAGCCCCTAAAGGGACATGGTTAGGCTTGCTGGTATAGCCGGTTACATTACTGTACATCAGATTTCACTTATCACATGAAGATAGAAAGCAGAGATGACTGACAGGACGATGTCGGGGGATTTAGTACACAACAGATCCTGAGCGTCTTTGACAAAATGTTATCTTGTAAACATTTGTTAACATAAATGTTACCTTATGCAGCCCCACCCCTTTACAGCACTTCTGTCTTCAATAGAAGGTAAGGGTAAATACATGTTTGTATTTCCACAGCATGAAGGTAAGATCTTACGAATTTATGAATGAACTTGTCGGTTTTAAAAATCTGACATTTGTTATGATATCCGCATCAAACATTACATTGCTCATCATAACTTTTGTTGATTCTACAATAAGTAAATCCACTTCACCAGCTAATTACTCTTCGACAGCGATGCTACAGAAATATAGAGAGCTAGTATTTTGAAAAAATGTATTTTTCAATTCCTTCCTGAACATAGCATTCGGCTTCAGGCTTTTTAGATTTTTTAGAGTGTGGTCCACAGTAGCGAGATCAGCTCCTGAAACTGTTACAGGAGATTTATCAGAAGCCATTACTGTAATTGCAAATGGCTGTGGAACATTACTCACTGGCAATATCCTAAAGATATCCATCTTATTGAACCATACTGATTAATTGAATTTTCATCAGCGCTAAGCTTATTAACTGTTATGACAAATGATTCGAGGAGCGTACATGTAGGCCACCAAGCCCATTGCTTTTGAACATTTTCTTCCTCCAGCGAGAGAGATTATTATCTTTCATTTCACTTATCTGTCTTTGGAATAAAACATAAGACGCGTTAAACGCAGTGGACGACTGTCTCATTTGCAGTTTGATGTGCTAATGTGGAGTATCACACCTTGGCTCACTGCTTTGGGGGAAAGGAAGCCTTTATAAAGGTAAAATCATGCAAATAATGTCCCGGTTGTGCCAAAGGCTGCCAGGGGAGATGAGGGAGAAACACTTACAGGTTCTTGACGGAGGTGATCCCTCGGAAAGCCTTACGAGGAATAGCCTGAATCTGATTCTCGCTCAGGTCCCTGGAGAGAGAGAGAGATAAGAAAGAGAGAGAGAGAGAGATATTAGGATTTGTTTGAAGCCACTTCACATTTTGTGAGAAAGCGTCTTGAGAAAGATGGACGGTTTGCTGCCGCCCCTCTGGAACGATATGCCGCCGCTTTGAAGTCTGAAACCATATTGTTCTACTGACCATAAATGTCACATCCTCCTTTATTCGTCTGGCCTTTTATCACTATATGTGTGTGTGTTGGTCTAATGAAAAACATTTCTAAAGCAATACTTTGTAATGAAAGGCCTCATAGCGGTATGTCCCACAATTGTTGCTTCATTCTTGTAGAAAATTAAGCAATCATATGCACTGAGTCACCCGGGAAAGCAAACAGACAAAAAGTAGCTCTACACCAAAATGGATACCTGGCATTTTTAATGCTCGCTTATGAGCCAAATGATTTTTGACGTCACAATGCTTGTGCTTAACTTTATTAAGCTTGTTTGTTTGTAGACTCATGCTGGCAAACATAATTTGTGAACCAGAATGCAATTACTGGCCAAGAAGGAAACAAATGAGATATGGAATATCTGCCCAGCTAATCAAAGCATCTGCTATGGAGTCATGCCTGCAACACATAACACGAACAGACCACCACGTGGGTTAACCCACCTGACCTTGCTACAACCAATTTCACTGATAAACAATCAGGAGCGGATCCAAACACAGCGAGGAATTCTGCCAGAGCTCGTGCGTGGGACGTAATGATGTATCAAGTAGAGGACTGCCAGCAATTTCCTCTTAGGAGCATTAAAAAACTGTAGTTATTGGGCTCTTTCAGCCCCCCTGCCAGAACTGGATACGTGGTATTTTTTTTTTTTTTTGCCTCGAACCAATCAAGTTTTATTACGGCAAAAATCTTAATAACTATGTTTTGCTTTGCAAAAAGGGGGCTATGGTATTTCATCTAACTGTTCTTGATGGTTTTTGACATGTTCCACAATTTCTTTACAGCACTCTTGGCTGGCTCGACGCGAGCATCATGTTCCTTTGTGTATCCTTCATGTCGAACTTTGCAGCGCGTGCACAGATGAGAACAAACATTTGTAGAGTAAAAACTCATAACATCCTGTGTTCGTATGCCACAGAGTGGGAAAATAGGACCGCTGTTTATACCATCATCACGCTGGGCATGAGCGAATCCCTGTTGTCTTTGATGGTCTAAATGTAAAACAGATAAAGTGCAGAGATGGAGAGGAGCACAGAGGAAACTTCTCTTTGGCTAGGCTTTTTAATTCTTCATGAACGGCGAAGCACTAAACTCGTACGTCCTCGGCGAGCCGAGAGCGCAGCGTAGTACTTTACAGCACTTCCACTGCTAATAAATGTTTTATTGCTTTGTTTACTCAGTGGAACCTTTTTCATTATTTCTACAAAAAGGCAAATCGTCCCAAATAAAGGCACTTATGAAACGCAATCAGTCTCAGCAGTGCCGTAGCTGAAGAGCGACAGAGAGAAACAAATCAGAAGGAGAAAAAAGCAGCCCCCACGGGATTCGGTATGAATTCGATGATTTCTAATGAAGAATTACATGAAACTATAAAGAGATAATAGAAGTTTATGAGATATGAGAATTATATTGGGTGGGAAAAATGTAGCAATGCACATTGCTTTGACACTATATTAATTACACATGGATAATAAAACAATATATGCGACTTCAGAATGAATACAAGCTCGCCAAAGATTCTTTAAAAACACACTTTAATTTGTTATTTAGATATGTAGCGATGCAGTTCACTCCATAGTATTTTGGAGTGAAAAATCCACTACAAAGGATTTTGAAGGCTGATACCAATACAAATATTTTTTGGGTTTTAAAATCCGATATTCCGATATATCGGCCAATATTTTTTTTTTGTTGGATTTCACACACGTGTAAAAGATTTATTTTATACTTTTTCTCTACGTCTAAATGTTCACTCCCCGCAAGTATAACTTACATTTTACAATGCAGGGACTGTAACTAGAGATATGCTAGCTATGTATTGTCACCATCCCAGGACTCTCTGTGTGTTTTCATTTACCACGTGTGCCCCTCGTCTGAGTTCTCCGCCCTCATCTGTTACCATGGACACTAATCACCTCCCGCACAGCTGACTGTCATTTGTTAATCATCTTCACTGTGTATTTAAGTTCCTGCCTGTCTTCACTCCCTATTGTTTGTGTTTAACACGCTGTCATCCTGTCTGCCTGTTCCTGAGCTTCATTTATTAAAATCCGTGTTTAGCCTATCTTCCTCCTCGTCTTCCTTGGTCAACCCCGTGACATGTATACAGTAATCATTACTTTATTTAGGCAGAAAAAGTTCATTGTTGTTTCCAAGCTCATTAATGTTAACGTTAGCGGTCTTCCACTGATGATATTGGCATTAGCTTGCTTTGTGGTTGGCTAGTCTATGATGAGCCATAATTTAGCAATTGATAACATCATACTGCAAATTGTAAAACATACATTTTCAATATAACAGGCCAAGGAGAGATGATTGAAGCGTGTTTCGTCTGTTTTTATTTTATTTTTTAAATATTCATTCATCCGCCATTATAACTGCCGATACCGATATTTTGGAAAATGCCTAATATCGGCTGATAATATCGGGCGGTCGATATATTGGTCCGGCTCTACCTGTTTTATGCAATAATTTATAAAATTGCTTGCTTGCGAGTCTTGATTTCGGGAGAATATAACCTTTTTAATAAATCAACTCATTAAGGCTTATTATAAATGGCCTTTAAATAGATCTTGGTTTTTCCCCCGTAGGCAAACAAAACTGGAAATAGCATCATATACTTATAAAAACTGGTGTATTTATGCAGTGTTGTAGTCGAGACCACCTCACTCGAGTCCGAGTCGACACCGAGACCAGAGAGAGTCGAGTCCGAGTCAAGACCGAGTCCATAGAGAGTCGAGTCAGAGTCGAGTCCGAGACCAGAGACGGTCGAGTCCGAGTCGAGACCGAGACCAGTGAGGGTTGATTACCTAATTTACTTTTATTTACTTAGAGAAATTCTTTTTTTTTTTACTGAATTTATGTAGAGTTTAAAAAATATGATCAGTTTAGGGTAAAAAGGCCACATAGTAGGTGGTGTTAAAAGTAATTTTATTACAATTTGTCATGCGCAGTTGCGCACTAGAAAATCGCCAATCACTGGGCGTGTCAATCAATTTAAAGAAATATTTTATTAACATACATTAATAATCATGAAAAATATTTTGAATTGAACTCGAGTGGACTCGGGAATAATTCTGAGTCCTAAAAAAAAAATGTTCGAGTACGAGTCAATTCCGAGTCCAAATGGACACGAGTCCATGACAAGACCAAGACCATTAAAATATGGTCTCGAGACCGAGTCCGAGACGAGTCCGAGTCTCGAGTACTACAACACTGTATTTATGTGTAATAAATGTAACTCTCTAAGTCTGGTTTACACTGCTATCATTAGCGTCGAAATGGCCGTCTTAACAGAAGCTTGAATTAATGCTTTAAGTTAAAGTTAAAGATACAGATTCAAACCAGACATGATCCAAACGGTGTTTCTTAAAGGACAGAGCTGCATTGGTCGTCCTCCTCTAGCAATCTGCTTGCAAATTTCATTAATTTCATTTGGCTTTGGCCCTGCTCTCTCTGACTGTCAGGATGCCTGCCATAAATCTCCCTTTGATTCCATTACGGCTCCCATGTCCAGACAACCTGGCAACGCCAAAACATATTACAGATAAACGCTCAGCAACATGCAAGGATATGAGAGTCGAACAGCAAGAAGGATCTATCCTCACATACACACACACACACACACACAAGCAAATGTTAGAGAGAATGAAGCACTATATGCTACTTGAAATGCCACTGTCAAGACATTCAGCACACTTGTTTTCAGTCGGATGCATATAGGAATCAACCATAAATAGTTATTTATTTGCAAGGAAGAGAAGACCAATAATAGTTAAGTATGTCTGTTACATTTCGAAAGATCAATGTTCTGTCAATGTAAATCAGATTTTCAAAATTGAATCTTTAACTGTTGCTTAATGGTGCATTCACACCGGACGCGAATAGCGCGTCAGGCACGAGTGATTTCAATGTTAAGTCAATGGAAAGACACGTTAAAAAAAACACAATAATAAGACACACTTAAAAAATTCCTGAGGCGCGAATGAGGTGTAGAGCACGTCAGACGCAAATAAGCCTCATTCGCGCATCAAGTTTGCGCGAATGGCGCAAATAGGGCGTCTGCCACGTTAAGCACGAATGATTTAGTTAGTGCTATTTGTGCATTCACGCGTTTCACGCGAATTCGCGGCTGCCGCCCGAGTTGAAATATCTGATCCGCGTTAACCAATCAGGAGTCTAGCTGCTTGCTCATGTGGTGAAGTATCACGAATGCTTCAATAAATTGTAATATGACTAAATGCATGGTGTGGTCTTATAGCGCAACAAAACAAATATTTGATCACTTAAAACTTTATTTCAATATACGAGACATGTTCATTTTGTACTGAATGCTATGTATTCCATATCTACATTATATGAAATATTATTATGACGTAAAGACAACCAACATACATGTGCATAAGTTCGTGTCTGGACGTGAGAGAGAAAAAAAATCACAGGACAGGTTAATAACTTTTGGAGGCTGGCTCTATTTATCATCAAAACAAAAATAAATTACAGATTAGATGGATTAGGGCAAGGGTGATCCTCGCTCCGATGCGGGACAACAGGTCATCAAACTGGGCGCGGGACAGGTGGAAGTACCGCTGACAGCGGCCGTCATCCATCAGCAAATGGTGAAACTCGCCAAACGGTTCACCTCCGAAGGCTCTGGTGGACAAATACGGCGACGATGATCCCCACGCCGCTGTTCTGCTCTCCAAAGCAAATACAGAGCGATGACTTTCTCGATGAATGCTCGATCAACATAAAAAAGATGGCCACCAACGGATTTTGATTCTGAATTTCGCTACAAACTT